CATACATATATATCCAAATCCATCTCATAAAAAGAAACTATCCCTGATGTCCCTATTTATTGCAAATACATGGCACTGTCTTTCATGCAATTTACACCTCCCAACCCCCAAATCTCACTTCAAGATCTCAATACAAAATCCTTACATACACACACATATATTTTTGTCTTTTACACAACAGACAACATCTCAAAGCCATATGAACAGATCAGAAAAGGTTTTGGGATCGTCTTGCACTTATAAATCTTGGATAAACTAGAAACCACATATTAAGAGGAGGAGGTGGACGATTCAGGTGCTGGGTGTCCTGTCAGAAGACCCACATCTGGGGGTGGCATTGGGGCATCCTCCTCGTGAAGCATTGACATCTTGCTAAAGTACATAGAGGATTTCTTCTTTCTTGCAAAATTCTGTAGAAAGACAGGAAGATACAGTGTTGGAAGAGGTAAATAAAATTGCAAGAAGGTGGAATCACATTATTCATCTGTAAGTAATTGAAACCACACTAGGAGTGTAAAAAACACAAGACAGCTCAAATATTCTAAAATTCCACCTAATCCATATACTGAATGTTCCTGGTATCATCACGGGTATAAAAATCAAATTTTGTGTTTCTCTGGACAAAGTATTTGAGCACTTCCTCTTAAGAGAACTCAAATGTAGTTACCAATACCTGAGAAGAAGTCCCTGCCTGATCCTCGCCAGAAGAGGACGTAACACCTTCTTCCAAGTGAAGGTCTGGGCTGGAACCTTCAAGTTCAAGCTCATGGTATAGGGAGGAGAGCTGGTCATCCACCCACACAGGCTGTGAGGGAAAAAAGGCATGGGGTCAAGTCTTACGGGGACAGTCCCTAAATGGGGGTGGGGGGAGGGGGTAAATATTGGTAAATATTTATAAAAAATAAATGGTCTCATGGATATTCTTGATTTGTGGATATTTGGTATATTTTAATATTCCACATTTTTTGATACCAAATTTATGGGGGTTCCCACATGGGGGGTGATGACCCATGCAAAAAAAAAAAGTTTTTAATTTTTTTTTTCACATGTGTCTGCACGAAAGATTCCTATTAAATCTCTTATTTTTTCTTCTTGTTAAAGGTAAGAGTAAGAAGGAAAATTACATGACCTCATTTTCCCCTTTGTTTTGGTTATCAAGGCTGTGAGACAAAAGAAAAGAGCCGCACTTTAATATGAAACTCTTTGCATACATGCATATCCATTTATGTATTATTTATTTTGGAAGGGTAGGGAGGGGTTTTGGTGTCATAATTTCCTAGCAATACACATACATTCTGTACTACTATTACTTTCAATATTAAGTAGTTAAATTCATGCAGTTACCATAATTTGTAAATAAGGAAGCAGAAAGAAAAAAGAGGAAATAAAATAGAAAGTAAATACACATCTGTCAATGACCACAGTACCTGTCTTAGTTTCTTTAACATATCCATATCATGTCTCAGAACATCAACAAGTTCCTTGGTCTCCAACTGATATCTATATAGTAGTTCAGGGGTTACTTTCACATCATCTAACCACGGGGGGTCATTTAAGATTGGTCGACGACATTTAGATCTTGGTAAATTCCATTTTATAGCAGCTGGAGAAGCCTGTAATAAAGAAGAAGAAAAAAAAGGTATTAGTTTAAATAGGGCATTAGCTTTACTAGACACAATGACATTAAAATTAGAATATCATGAATAAAAACAAGAAAAAATAATTGTATAAAGCAGAACTCCATTTTTTTTTTTAAATCTTACATAGGGAAACACTTTCAACCCTTTACAGATTCTAAAATGAAACAAACAAGAAGAAACTGTCTCCCCAGAACGTAACCAGCCTTACCTCACTATTTTCTGATTGTTCTGATATGTTCTGCACACTGTCATCTGTAGACTTGTACTCCCTTGAAGAATTTGTAGAGCTTGTTATCATATCACTGAAACAGAAACACATACTTCAAGAAACCCATACTTCCTTTTCAGTCTACCCACACTGCTTCCATCAGTAAGTTATAAATGAAGCCAGTTTTCCTCATGTACACTATAGGATGAAATATGATAAAAGGCTTGCCGTAACCAGATCACTGTATATGAAAGCTATCCATTACATCTGTAGCTTCCATCATCTAGACATGCAGGAACATTGTTACACATTTCAAAAAGAAACACTGACTGCAGAGGAGAGGATCTCACCTTGAATTGTTGTCTAGACATTGTTCACGATCGTCTAGGGCTGCCTTATCCTGTTTCCCTGGTGACCCGACACTTTCCGCCTCTGCCCGTACACTGGTTGACTGCGAGAACTGTGATGAGTCATGGTTCTTCTCGCGGTCCAGCTGAGTCATCAAAGGATCAGTGTGAACATTATTTTTGGAAAATGGATGGTTTACTTAGAACTTTTGATTTCAATTTTAACATGGATAGACAAATCATTCTTCATATAAAAAAGGTGTTAATTCTCAAACTCTAACCTATACTTTCACCAAAACAGTAAATATAATTAACCATTTACACTGAGAAAACTTTTACCTTGGGTGCACATCCAGGTGAAAGTATAGTTGTATCCTCTACGAAGGAACGTATGCTCTCTGCAGCATGAGAATGGGAACTAATGATCTTGCCCGAAGCTGAGGCAGTGCTGCCCCTGGCTGAGCCAGGCTCTGCTTTGACTGATGTGGCTTGAGAATCTGGTCGACGCATGTGCACTGCCGAACGCTTCAGGGTGAAGTTCTGTAGGTGAGGAGAAAATTTAAGACATTCAAACAATAATAACAATAACTAATACTATTCTCAATAATAATAACAAATATTGATAGTAATAATGATGATGCTCATATTAGAAATAAAGAACAATAAAAATACTAATAAGACTGCAAGACTTATTAGTGTTTCATAATATATCATTAAAAAACTACTGTGAATAACATACAGATGACGTTCATCATACAACAATGATACCTATCATCAATATTTCCATTCACTTCATTAAACATAAATAACTGCAGCTAAAGACATCACATTCATAGCCATCTAAAGTCAACGTACTTTGCCCGATGGCTGATTTGGGTCCATTTCCTGTTCGCTTTCTGCACCAGACCTCTTTTCTCCATCGGACGAAAGTGGTATAGAGATCTGTCCATGGGGAGACTGTACGACTGTGTGTTGGAAGACCACATTAGGTAGCATGAGGGGAGGTGCGTTAAACAGAGGAGGTCCAACTGGCTGGTACATCACACCGGGGAAAGCACCCACATACTGGACAGGGACTGCCATGCTCGCTAAGGAAAACAGAAATCACACTTTATTAAGTAGCTCATCTTAAAAAAATTAATTCTAACTCCCTTCAAGCACTCAATCATGCCTCCTCTGTGGTGAGAACCAATGCCTTTCTTTCTTTTCTCAATGATATCAAAATAAAACTGTATCTAAATTTGTGCAGATAACAGACCATCAGTCATTTGGGACCATGCACACAAAGATAATGTCTGCTTTGTGCAAATTCAGGAAAATGACTGACAAATCACTATTACCTTAACTATCATTACCAATTTTTTCCACAAAACTGACTTAAAGGATGCAATGGAAAATGCAGAATTTTATATCATATTCACAGAAAGGATAACAATAAATGGGTAAAACAAACAAACAAATGGGATTAATATTATCTGTTCAAAAAATCTTTTTACAAACTCCTAAAAGGTTAAAAATAGGTTACAGTAAAAAGAAAAAGAGGGGACAAGCCCTGGTTATCAATATCAAAAGCTAGGGAAAAGATTAAATAAAAAAATAAATAAAAAAGAAAAATAGAAAAGAAAGGAAAGAGGAGAGAAAAAATCACCATCAAAACATACCCTGTGGCTGAATATAAGTTGGCTGCTGTGGTGGCATCAACAGAGTTGGACCAGGAGGCTGGGGAACTAATAGGTTCTCCATGGGCGGAATGGGGGACACACTTGACGTGCTCGTTGGGAGGTAATACCCAGGCATAATCCCTGGAAACGGGGGTGCTGCAAGTCTACCCGTTGGCAGCACATTTGGTCCCACATTGGTGGTGCTGGATCTGGGAAAGGGAAAGAATTTGTGAGTTTATAAAAGACAAAAAAAGAAGGCAATGAAGATGATGCTGAAGATAAATAAGAAGAAAATTAATAATTAATTTAGTTTAATTCCATTTGTTATAATGGATATTCTATGCTGAGACATGCTGTTTGCTTCTAAATTACCCTTTGTGTGCAAGGGCAAGCACGTGGGATTGAACACAAGTCAGCATGATTGCTAGATAAAAATACTACCATTGGACTAGACAGCACAAAAGAAGAGAAGGAATAAGAAAGAATGGACATCTGATGAAACAGATATTACGGATGAATAAAGAAACATACAACAAAATGAACAACCTAAAAGAAAAGCATAAGCAATGCAGAAAAATGTCTGAGACTCTTAAATATAATAAAAATAATAATCACTTACTGTCCTGGAGTCTCTGATGCTTTACTCTCATTCTGTGACCAGCCCTCTCTTGGGGGGGGCTTCAGGGGCCCTGGAACACCTGACGGGGGGGCAAGGTAAGGCTGCTTCTGGACACTGGCCTCCTGTTCCAAAACGGCCCCTGAGCGCTTTATGCCGTGGTTCTGTTAAGAGAATTGACTTAGCATGCTATTCTATGAGATGATGATGATGTTCAAGCACATGAATCTGAGTTGCTCTTGATTCTGACAACTTAAGCCTTACTTTTTTTTTCTCTTTACTTTTCTATTTCATCTGCATGAAGAACATTAAAAAAAATTTGATTCTTTTCATTAACCTAAAAAAAAAAAAGATTATGATAATAATAAAAATAAAACAATAATAAATGATAATAATAGTAATAGTAATAGTAATAGTAATAATAATAATAATAAATATAATGACAATAACAATAATAAACATATGCATATATATAAAAATAACACTAAGTAATAAAAAATAAAAAACGCTCACCCGATCACCCGACTT